GCTGTAGCAAGAGGAGATGGGGAAAGTAGAAGAAAATGAGGTCAGAGAAGGAAGAGAAGGTAGAGGGTGGCAGAGCATGTCAGAACTATTAGCCATGCCACTGATGGTAGAGATTTTCACTTTTATTCTAAGAGAAGTGGGAAGTCATTAAAGGTCATTTTGAGCAGAGGAGCAATGTTGTTTTTTAAAAGATCTCTCTGACTGCTGTGTAGTAAGCAGACTGAGGCAAAGTCAGGGAGATCAGTTGAGAACCTAGTATAATACTCCAACCAAGAGAAGATGGTGGTTTGAACGAGAATGATGGTAGTGGAAGTGGCCATAACGGGTCAGATCTTAGATATATTTTAAAAGTAGAGCCAATAGAGTTTGCTAAGGGATTAGAAGTGAGATGTGAGAGTAAAAGTCAAGGATGACTCCAAGAAAACTACTGAAATATTTTCTGACTTCCCAAACAGAACTAGTCTTGCCTCGATATCACCTTGTAATTGAAATGATTTGTTTATATGTCTGCTTCCTTACTAGACTCTGAGGTTCTCAAGGGCAAAAATTGGATGTTATTGGTGAATTGTTACATTTTATTAGCCCTGGAGGTGGAGGAGAAAGTGGGGGTTGGAAGGTAACATCCATTGCAGGAAAATGGAAGGAGGAGAAAGGCAGTCAAGTGGAGAACACCAGCCGGGGAACCTGGCAGGCTTGGTTTGATTTGTGGCTCCATCCCTTGAAATTTTGAGACTTTGGGAAAGTTACATCAACTTCTTCAGTCTTGGATTCTGTAAGATGGGAATAATAATAATAATAATAATAATAATAATAATAATAATATCCACCTTATACGATTGTTGTGAAAAAGAAAGAAACCCTGTACTCATTAGCAATTATTTCCCATTTCCCCCTGCCCAACCCCTGGTAACCATAATCTACTTACTCTCTAAAGATTCATCTATTTTTTTTAAACCTTTGAACTTTTTTTTTAAGATTTTATTTATTTATTCATAGAGACAGAGAGAGAGAGGCAGAGACACAGGCAGAGGGAGAAGCAGGCATCATACAGAGAGCCTGATGTGGGACTTGATCCAGGGTCTCCAGGATCATGCCCTGGGCTGCAGGCAGCACTAAACCGCTGCACCACCGGGGCTGCCCCAGATTCATCTATTTTTAAAAAAGATTTATTTATTTATTTTAGAGAAGGAGGAGGGGCAGAGGGAGAGGGAGACAAAGAGAATCTCAAGCAGACTCCCTACTGATCATGGAGCCTGACTTGGGGCTTGATCCCACAACCCTGAGATCATGACCTGAGCTGAAATTAAGAGTTGGATGGATAACCAGCTGAGCCACCCAGGTGCCCCTCATTTATTCTGCATATTTTATATCAATGGAATCATACAATATGTGGCCTTTTGTGAGTGCTGTCTTTCATTTATTAGAGTGTTTTCAAGGCTCATCCATTTTGTTGGATATATCAGTACTTCATTTATTTTGTAGCTGAATGATAATTTCATTATATCTGTATACCACATTTGTTTATCCAACTAGCAATTGATGGAAATTTGAATTGTTTTGACTTCATGGCTAGTATAAATAATATTACTATGGACATTCACATATAGGTTTTTGTGTGGACATATGTTTTCAATTCTCCTGAGTATATATTTAGGGTTGGAATTCTTTTTTTTTTTAAAGACTTTATTTATTTATTCATGAGAGACACAGAGAGAGAGGGGCAGAGACACAGGCAGAGGGAGAAGCAGGCTCCATGCAGAGAGCCTGATGCAGGACCCAACCCCGGGACTCTAGGATCATGACCTGAGCTGAAGGAGGCGCTAAACTGCTGAGCCACCCAGGCGTCCCAAGGTTGGAATTCTTGGGTCATATGTCAACTCCATGTTTAATATTTTGAAGAACTGCTAAACTTTTTCAAAGCAGTACACTGTTTTACAATCCTATCTGCAATGCATGAGGCTTCAAATTTCACCATATCCTCATCAACACTTGTAATTGTCTACCTTTTTATTTTAGCCATTCTAGTGATTATGAAATGGATGTATCTCACTGTGGTTTTTTTTTAAGATTTTATTTATTTATTCATAGACACAGAGAGAGAGAGAGAGGCAGAGACATAGGCAGCGGGAGAAGCAGGCTCCATGCAGGGAGCCCGATGTGGGACTCGATCCCGGGTCTCCAGGATCACACCCCAGGCTGCAGGCGGCGCCAAACCGCTGCGCCACCGGGGCTGCCCTCTCACTGTGGTTTTGATATGTATTTTCCCAATGACTAATGATGAACATTTTCTCGTGTGCTTAGTGCCCATTTGTTTATCTTCTTTGGAGAAATGTCTATCCAAATCCTTTACTAACTTTTATTTTTTTTTATTTTTTAAAAGATTTTATTTATTTATTCATGAGTGTCAGAGAGAGAGAGGGAGAGAGAGGCAGAGATACAGGCAGAGGGAGAAGCAGGCTCCATGCAGGGAGCCCGATGTGGGACTCGATCCCAGGACTCCAGGACCATACCTCAGTCCAAAGGCAGGCACTGAACTGCTGAGCCACCCAGGGATCCCCCTTTACCAACTTTTAAATTGGGCTATTAGTCTTCTTATTGAGTTATAAGAGTTCTTTATAATTTTAGATAGAAATCCCTCATCACATCTATCATTTGCCAATATTTTCTTCCATTCCATAGCTTTTATTTTTACTTTCTTTTTTAAAAATATTTTTTATTATTTATTCATGATAGAGAGAGAGGAGAGAGAGGCAGAGACACAGGCAGAGGGAGAAGCAGGCTCCATGCCGGGAGCCTGATGCGGGACTCGGTCCTGGGACTCCGGGATCGTGCCCTGGGCCAAAGGCAGGTGCTAAACCGCTGAGCCACCCAAGGATCCCCTCTTTTTACTTTCTTGATGATGTTCTTTGAAGTACAAAATGTTCAGTTTTGATGAAGTACAATTTTCTGTTTTTTTTTTCTTTTGTTGTTTGTGCTCTTGCTTTTTGTGTCATATATAAAGAGCTATTGCCAAATCCAAGGTCATAAACATTTATTCCTATATATTTTCTCTGAGTTTTATAGTTTTAGCTTGTACATATAGATCTGTGATCCATTTTATCACTTCTCAGCATTTTGGTTAAGATCAAGTGCAGATCTGTGATCTATTTTGAGTTAATATTTGTGTATGGTATGAGGTAGGGATCCAACTTCATTTTTTAAAAAAGTAGGTTCTATACCTTATGTGGAACCCAATTTGGGGCTTGAACTCATGACCTGAGCTGAGATTGGTTGTGGGATTGAGCCCCATGTTGGGTTCCATGCTCAGCAGGGAGTCTGCTTGAGATTCTCTCCCTCTCCCACTGCCTCTCCCTATGCGCACATGCTTTCTCTTTCTCTCTCTCTGTTGAATAAATAAATACATCTTAAAAAAATACCTGAGCTGAGATCAAGAGTTGGACACTTAATTGACTGAGCCATCAAGGCACCCCCAACTTCATTCTGTTATAGGTGTCCCAGCACCACGTGTTGAAAAGATGATTTTTTTGAAGATTTTATTTATTTATTTGAGAGACAGAGTGCATGAGGAGAGGAAGATAAAGGGAGAGAACTCCAAGCAGACTCTGTGCTGAGTGTGGAGCCTGACACTGGGCTCAGTCCCACAACCCTGAGGTTATGACCTGAGCTGAAATAAAGAGTCAGACACTCAGCCAACTGAGCTGTCCAGGCACTCCAAAAAGATGATTTTTTCCCCCAGTTGAATGATCTTGTAGAAAACCAGTTGGCTTTGGGTGTCTGGCTGGCTCAGTCAGTGGAGCATATAACTCTTTATCTTGGGGTTGTGAGTTTGAGCCCCATGTTGAGTGTTAAGATTACTTAAAAATAAAATCTTTAAGAAAAGAAAAAAACAATTGACTCTAAATTTGAGGGTTTATTTCTAGACTCTCAATATCCTATTTATTTATGTTTATTCTGATGCCAGTACCACACTGTTTTCATTATTGTAGTGTTGTAGAAAGTTTTAAATTGGGAAGTGTGAGTTTTTCCAACTTTGTTTTTATTTTCTAAGTTTGTTTTGACTATCCTGAGTCCCTTGCATGTGCATATGGATTTTTAGGATCCACTTGTCAATTTCTTCAAAAAAGGCACCTGGGATTTTGACAGATTGCATTAAATCTATAATGCAGTTGGAGTACCAATGTTAGGTCTTCTGATCCATGAAAATGGAGATCTCTTTATTTATTTAGATATTTAATTTCTTTCAACAGTGTTTTATAGTTTTCAATGTATCTAAGTCTTGCAATTCTTTTGTTAACATTTTTTCTTAGTATTTTATTCTTTTTTTTAAAATATTTTATTTATTTATTCATGAAAGACACACACACACACACACACACACACACACACAGATAGAGACACAGGCAGAGGGAGAAGCAGGCTCCATGCCGGGAGCCTGATGTGGGACTTGATCCCGCGACTCCAGGATCATGCTGTGAGCCGAAGGCAGGCGCTAAACCACTGAGTCACCCAGGGATCCCCACAATGGCATTCTCTACTTTCTCTAAATCACTATGCTCCTTCCTGCTTTAGAATCTTCATTTACACTGTTCGTCTAGACTGATCACTACCCTTGCTCACAAGTACCACTAGCAAAGGTGGTTTTTTCCCTAGGAGACAAAACTGAATTTTTTTTGTTCTTTATAAATGTCAATGCCTAAGTAGTTCATGTCTACTGTTCTCACCTGTATCATCAGTACCTGGACTAGCATGTGGCATATCACTGGAGCTCAGTAAAAAGAGCGGATAAACTGTGAGCCAGGCACTTTACATATGTGATCTCACTTATCATTGTGATTCACTCTGCAAGTGAGGAAACTAAAGCTTGAAGAGGTGAACTGGCCCAAGGTCACATAGTGAGTAAATAACAGACATATTTCAGTGAAATCACTTTGCCTGGGAGTTTAAGGAGTTTAAAATAAGTCCTTCAAGAAAGAAGTACTCATCTTTGATTTGTTTTCCAGTGGAGACTTTTCAGAAACTGCAGAAGGCAAAGGATATTCTGACTAATACAGAGAGTCGTGCCCGCTATGACCACTGGCGGAGGAGCCAGATATCGATGCCATTTCAGCAGTGGGAAGCTTTGAGTGACTCGGTGAAAACGGTAGGTTTCTCCCTGGGATGAAGTGAATTCATGAAGCTCAGGCTGCCCATGTATTCGACTCACATAGTAGTTTAAAATATTAGTAGGCAATAGGAGGGAGAAGACCAAGAAGCTGTTAGAATCTGGATACAACTCTGTTCACAAATCCTGTGAAAGAGAATTCAATGGATCAGCACCAGAAGAGCTCGTGACTACAATTGTCGATCTCTTTGGTTGTTTGATTCAATATCTTCACTTCTTGTTATCATTTATTGTTTTATACATTCTGGTAACTGCTTCTCATGTTGCTCATATAATACTGCTGAATTTTGAACCAAGGCAAATTCATCTCTTCCATCTTTTTAGTTCATATTGGCATATTCTCTTCTCAAGACTTGTAAATTCCATAAAAAACAGAGCCTGATTAATTAAAGAAAGCTGCAAATTATTTTAAATTGATTCTTTTTTAAAAAAATGTCTTATTTATTCATGAGAGACACACAGAGAGAGGCAGAGACATAGGCAGAGGGAGAAGCAGGCTCCATACAGGGAGCCCGATGTGGGACTTGATCCCAAGACCCCAGGATCACGACGTGAGCTGAAGGCAGACGATCAACCAACTGAGCCACCCAGGGATCCCCAAGAAGGAAATCTAAATGTAAACCTGAAGGGCTATAATTTAAGAGATGTGAATCACCATATTTCCATTCTTCTGAGTGTGACACATTGTAACTGCAACTGAATTAGTGACCTTTGCTATGTGAATGTCTTTTCATTTATACTTTGTTGTTGTTATTGTTGTTGTTTTTTGATGACCCACTGAACTTTTTTTTTAAAGTTTTATTTATTTATTCATAAGTGACACAGAAAGAGAGAGGCAGAGACATAGGCAGAGGGAGAAGCAGGCTCCATGCAGGGAGTCCGATGTGGGACGCGATCCCAGACCTCCAGTATCATACCCCGAGCCAAAGGCAGACACTCAACCGCTGAGCCACTCAGGTGTCCCGATGACCCACTGAACCTAATTTTAACCACTAATATCAAATTTGCTGTGGACTTCTCAAAAACTCTTCTCCAAATTTCTCTTCTAATTTAAATGGCTGATGTCTTTCCTTAAAATGCTAATTTTTGGGGCTCCTGGATGGCTCAGTGGGTTAAGCATCAGCCTTTGGCTCAGGTCATGATCCCAGGGATCTGGGATCAAGCCCCACATGAGGCTCCCTGCTCTTTGGGGAGTCTGCTTCTCCCTCTCCCTTGCTTCTCCACCCCACTCATGTGTATGCATTCTCTTTCAAATAAATAAAGAAAATCTTTAAAAAATGCTAATTTTCTGTCTCCAAACATGTCATTTCTGCTTTGAATTTAGCCTAACTACGGACTGTTTGAGGTCTTACAATAATAATATTTTAGATATTACTGTCTGCACCAATTGTCTTGTCAATAAAATTGAAATAGTATGCTGGGCCAGCATTTGGTTTGAGATTTATTTTTATTAATGGTACAAAAATGATAAGAAGCATTTTTCTGCTTTAAATCAGCAGTGATTTTTTTTTTTTTAACATACATGCTTCTTTGGGCAAAATCTTGTTGTTTTTGATTTGCTTTTGTTTCTCTTTCTCCATGGACTTGCATCCTTGATGCCAAGTCTCACAGGTTTTATAACTAAATAGACTTTCTGTAAATTTCTTCTCATTCCTTTCTCTTCTAAGCCCTACAAGTGAAAGCCTCACCTCTGTCTATAACATTGAGTTATTGTTTTCTGTGTGAGTGGATTTGCTCATCCTTTCACCTTTCCCACTTAGAGAAATTAATAGCAGTTATGATGCTAACATTGTTCATCATCTAAAGAGATCGTTGTTTCTCCTTTTGTAGATAAACATCATTCTTAGGGTGTTTGGGTGAAGTATGTTACATATGCCATCTGACTAAAATGATTACAACTAAGAATTTAGGGATGCCTGCGTGGCTTGGTGGTTGAGCATCTGTTTTCAGTTCAGGGTGTGATGCCGCAGTCCGGGGATCAAGCCCCACATTGGGCTCCCTGCATGGAGCCTGCTTCTCCCTCTCCCTCTGCCTCTGTCTCTGCCTCTCTCTCTCTCTGTGTCTCTCATGAATAAATAAATAAAATCTTTTTTAAAAAAAGGATTTAAATTTTAGGTGACATTTATCTAAAACACATATGCATGTTTGTTTGCCCTATACCTTTGTAGATTGTTATATCTCCTAAAATCCTACCCTTTATATCACCAACTCTGTGTTTCTGCTTTTTATTGAAGCAGTATAATCCCTCTGGAAGGAGAAGAATTGGTGAGAACAATATTAGTCTCTGTACCTTCAAGGCAGGACAAATCCTAATGCACTTTTGCAGCATCACATATAGTTCATATCACAGGAATTTCCTTTGGGAGAATTCTTCAAATGTGCACAACTTCAGGGGTGACAGATTTCTATGATCCCAGAGTGATGAAACTGTATGTTTTTCCCCACACCAAGTCTCTGTCACTTTACTACCTATTTTCCTTTTCCTTTTTAGAAGTTTCTCCTGATAGTTCTTTTTTGTTTTTTATTTTTTATTTTTTTTTTAAACTTTTTTTTTAAATTTTTATTTATTTATTTATGATAGTCACAGAGAGAGAGAGAGAGAGGCAGAGACACAGGCAGAGGGAGAAGCAGGCTCCATGCACCGGGAGCCTGATGTGGGACTCGATCCCGGGTCTCCAGGATCATGCCCTGGGCCAAAGGCAGGCGCCAAACCGCTGCGCCACCCAGGGTTCCTCCCTCTTTTTTGTTTTTAATATTTTATTTATTTATTCAGGAGAGACACACAGAGAGAGGCAGAGACACAGGCAGAGGGAGAAGCAGGCTCCATGTGAGGAGCCCAATGTGGGACGTGATCCGGGGACTCCAGGATCATGCCCTGGGCTGAAGGCAGGGTTGAGCTACCCAGGGATCCCCCTCTCTTGATAGTTCTTTTTTTTTTTTTTTCTTTTGTAGAAAGAAAGAGAGAGACAGAGAGTCAGGCAGACGGCGGGGGGGGGAGGGTTGTGCAGAGGGAGTGAGGGGATCTTAAACAGATTCCTCACGGAGCTTAGAGCCAACGAGGGCAGGGGTGTGGATAGGGGGCTTGATCCCACCACCCTGAGATAAGACCTGAGCTGAAATCAAAAGTTGGACTCTGGGCAGCCCAGGTGGCTCAGCGGTTTAGTGCCTCCTTCAGCCCAGGGCCTGATCCTGGAGTCCCCGGATCACATCCCACGTCGGGCTCCTCACATGGAGCCTGCTTCTTCCTCTGCCTGTGTCTGTGTCTGTCTGTCTGTCTGTCTGTCTCTCTCTCTCTCGGTCTCTCATGAATTAAAAAAAAAAAGTTGGACGCTTAATGAATGAAACACCTAGGCACCCCTCTCCTGACATTTTAATTTGAAAAATATTTATTTATTTATTTATAAAGATTTTATTTATTTATTCATGAGAGACAGAGAGAGAGAGGTAGAGACACAGGAAGAAGGAGAAGCAGGCTCCCCACAAGGAGCCCCATGTGGGACTCAACCCTGGATCCTGGGATCACATCCTGAGCCAAAGGCAGATGTTCAACCACTGAGCCACCCAGGCGTCCTGGAAATTGAAGTTTAGATATGTGATGTTGGTTTTAAAAAAGAGATATGGAGTGAGGTTTTCAGTTACTGTGGCCCTTGGGTCTTGGGATAATTTGAAAACAGAGATCTTTCTAGCTAAAAGGATCTTAGGGAAATTCACTGCTGTCATGCTAAATAATTTTACCCCAAAGGATCCAGGGTATGAAATGTTTTTTCTCTAGTTCTGAAATATGTGGCAGAATGGCTTTAGGATGCCTGTGAGAAAATGGTTGTAGCAAAGCCACAATCAAGAGTGCTGGTTGGGGCGCCTGGGTGGCTTAGTGGTTGAGTGTCTGCCTTTGGCTCAGGTGGTGATCCCAGGGTCTTGGGATCAAATCCTGTATCGGGCTCCCCACAGAGAGCCTGCTTCTGTCTCTGCCTCTGTCTCTGCCCTCTCTCTGTGCCTCTCATAAATAAATAAATAAATAAATAAATAAATAAATCTTAAAGTGCTAAGAAAAATTCTTATAAACTGTTATAACTGTCATGTCATATCCGTTGCTGTACATTTTATAAAGAATTAATAGAGGGGTGCTGGGTGACTCAGTTGTTAAGCGTCTGAGTTGGGCTCAGGTCGTGATCTCAGGGTCCTGGTGTCAAGCCCTAAGCCCTGAGTCCCTGTGTGGAGTCCTGAGTTGAGCCCAACATAAGGCTCTGTGCTCAGAGGAGAGTCTGCTTCTCCCTCTCTCTCTGCTCCTCCCCCTGCTCATGCACACTCTTTGTCCCTCAAATAAATAAAATCTTTTAAAAAAGAGTTAATAGAAATGCATTTTTGTTGAATTGATTGTTTGACAAATTGATTGCTTCTTATAGGACTTGTTGGGACTGCCAGTTACCCTCATATGGGTCTGTTTGTCTACTGATTGTTTCTTGGTTCCTGGGCTTGGTGAGGTGTCCTTGGGGTGAGTCCAGTTGGCTAAAAATGACTAGGGAAGCTTCCTACTATGCCTGTGTGGTTGCACTTTCTCCAGTCAGATGGGAAGCACCTTCTGGGCCTGTTCAGAAGGCAGTCAGTCCTAATTGAATGTTATCCAAAAGCAGGTCAAAGATCACCCAGACAAGCAAATAATTTACTTCTATCGATCCAGAATAATAACAACTAATCAATTTTGAATAGTTGTTCAACTGATCCATGGCTCACATGAGTCAATTGATTTTATTTCTATTTGTTTATTTTTTCTATTTGTCTACTTAATATTTACTGGCATGTAGGCACAATTTTTTATTGTTAACCAAGGTCTAGAATTAAGTTATATTAAATTAATTACTTTATTTATATTAAAGATTTTATGTATTTGGGGAGAGAGAGAGAGAGAGAGAGACAGAGCATGAGCAGGGGGAGAGAGAGAGGGAGAGGGAGAAGCAGGCTCCCTAAGGAGCAGGGAATCTGACGCGGGGCTCCATCCCAGGACCCTGGGATCATGACCTGAGCTGAAGGCAGACATTTAACCACTAAGCCACCCAGGCGCCCCAAAGTCCAGAATTTTAAAAAAATGACTGGGACTTCCTAAGGGAAAAAACACAGCAGGGAAAGCTGGTAAACAAGTTAATTGAGAAGATAGAATAAACAACATACCAATTTCATGGACTGTAGGACAGTGGCTTTTGCCCCTAGGCTTGGTGTCTGTTTAGTGTTGGTTCACCCCCTACACACAATGGTACTCTGTCTGGTGCAGTTCATTATTTTGCTGTACAGACTGTCCTCTTCCTAATCTCCCTCTCAGTCTCTGTCAACTACTATCATTTGATATTTTTATTGATTTTTTTTAAAGATTTTATTTATTTATTCTTGAGCGAGAGGGGCAGAGACACAGGCAGGGGGAGAAGCAGGCTCTATGCAGGGAGCCCAATGTGGGACTCAATCCTGGGATTCCAGGATCAGGCCCTGGGCTGAAGGCAGGCACTCAACCACTGAGCCACCCAGGTGTCTCTATTGATGATCATTCTATTGAAACGAGTCATTCCACACTAGTTTGCTTGATGTTGAGTGTTGTTAAATTAGTATCTTAGGGAATCTGAGAAATACAATCTGTGAACATAGAAATAAGACCTAATTGTGTCCCTGTAAATCAGGTTGCTTAGCATTGCTCTTATATTAGTCCTCTGATTGAAGTACAAAGCATGAGAGGTGCCTGTATATGAGGTTAGATGCAGTTTGGATCTTTCCCTTGTGTATTTCTTTCATTGGGATCAGGAGATACAGAGGTCTGATGATAAAATATTTTATTCTTATAAAGTGGATGGATGAGTAAAACTATTATCTCACAATTGCTTGATGGCTATCAAAGCATTTACTGTAGGTAAGTCATTAATCCTCAACACCATCTAAGGAAAATAGCAGGCACTTTTATTTCAAGACAAAAGTACCAGGGCACAAAGTAAATACACGGTACAAGACCTGTACCTAACTGACCTGTAATGTTTACAGACCACATTTTCAGCTCTCTGGGCCCTGAATTCTTGAGTTTCTTACTATTTTTCACTGACCTTTCCAATATCTTTTCCCTCTACAGAGAAAGCCACTGGCCAGCCTCTTTTATTCTGTGCACATGCAGGAAAAGGAAGAAACCAAACTAACCAACAACAGAACCAAACGAATCAGACCAAAAGCAGATTATTTTTTGCATCAGCTGACACCACTGCCCTTTTCTTTTTTTTTTTTTATTTTTTTTAATCATTTATTTACGATAGTCACAGAGAGAGAGAGAGAGAGGCAGAGACACACAGGCAGAGGGAGAAGCAGGCTCCATGTACCGGGAGCCCGAGGTGGGACTCGATCCCGGGTCTCCAGGATCGCGCCCTGAGCCAAAGGCAGGCGCCAAACCCCTGCGCCACCCAGGGATCCCACCACTGCCCTTTTCAAAAATTAACATTTTTAAAAAAAGATTTTATTTACTTATTTAAGAGAGAATGAGTGAGTGAGCAACCTTGAGCTGGGGGAGGGGCAGAGGGAGAGGGAGAAGCAGAGTCCCTGGGGAGCAGGGAGTCTGACATGGGGCTCCATCCCAGGACCCTGAGATCATAACCTGAGCTGAAGGCAGATGTTTAACCGACTGAGCCACCCAGGCACCCCTAAAATTAACATTAAGAAAGATTTCATGTTTATTTTTAAAAAGATTTATTTATTTTAAAGAGTGAGGTGGAGATAGGGGCAGAGGTAGAGGGACAATCCCAAGCAGACTCCCTGCCGAGTGGAGCCCCATGCAGGTCTTGATCCTTTTTTTTTTTTAATGATTTTATTTATTTATTCATGAGAGACACAGAGAACGAGAGAGGCAGAGACACAGGCAGAAGGAGAAGCAGACTCCATGCAGGGAGCCCAATGCGGGACTTGATCCCAGGACTCCAGGATCACGCCCTAAGCCCAAGTCAGGTGCTAAACCACTGAGCCACCCAGGGATCCCCCAGGTCTCGATCCTTTGACCCTGAGATCATGACTTGAGTCAAAACCAAGATTCAGACAACCAACCTACTGAGCCACCCAGGTGCCCCCTAAAGATTTTATTTTTTTCAGGATTCTCCTTACTTAGCCTGGGGCTTGATCTCACAATCCTGAGATTAAGAGTTGCATGCTCTACCATCTGAGCCAGCCAGGCGTACCATCTCTTTCTGTATCACTCTTTCTTTTTTCTTTTCTTTTCTTTTCTTTTCTTTTCTTTTCTTTTCTTTTCTTTTCTTTTCTTTTCTTTTCTTTTGAGAGCCAGCACAAGCAGGGGGAGGGGCAGAGGGAGAGAGAGAGAGTGAATCCACAAGCAGACTTGACTCCCTGGCTGAGCATGGAGCCTGACATGGGACTCTATCCAAGGACCCTGAGATCATGATTTCAAATGAAATCAAGAGTCAGCCACTTAACCGACTGGGATACCCGGGCACCACTTACTTACTTTCTTTCTTTTTCTTTCTTTTCTTCCTTTCTTTTCCTTTCTTTCTTTCTTTCCCGGCCAACAGAAGGGCCTTCTTTTTCTTTTTCTTTTTCTTTTTCTTTCTCTTTCTCTTTCTCTTTTTCTTTTTCTTTTTCTTTTTCTTTTTCTTTTTCTTTTTCTTTTTCTTTTTCTTTTCTTTCTTGGCCCAACCCAGGGCTCAAACCCACCACCCTGAGATCGAGACTCACCTGCTCCACTGACTGAGCCAGCCAGGCACCCCAAAATTAACATTTTTATTTTGAAATAAAACCTACAGAAAAATTCATAATGCTATGTCAGATTTTACCACATATCGAACTTTAAATATGGAATACTATATAATGTTTATATTATGTGTCTGCTTTAATTAATGTAGTCAATGCACTGGGCTGTCAGAGGTAAAAAAGACCTGATGCTGGAAGAATCTGACCAGAGTCTTACCAAAACGATTGAAAATGAGGAATGGAACAAGCAAAGGGAAATCAAGAAAGAGGAGCTGGGTTCAACCACAGAGAAAATGGAGCAAGAAGAATCCAAGTCCTTGGAGAAGTCATTCTCTCCACAAAATCCTGATTCTCCAAGTAAGTCAAGTCATGTAGCTTTGCAGACAAAGAATTTCTGAAATTAAAGGGCTTGGTTTATACTGTATTTATTCTCAACCTTTTCCAACTAAACAATAGTGCCAAATTTAAGGATTGCTTACTTAGCACTGACACAGAAACTGGAAGACACATTCCTCAATACATTCCTTGCAAGGGAAAATTTGGGGCATTTTTGTTATTCTGAAATAACACTGCCATTTATTGGGTGTTTCCTATGTATAGGAATGTTCTTTGTGTATGTTATGTGACATGTATTATCTTGTTTAATATTCATTTTATATACGTTAATTTATTTAATCCTCACTACAAGCTTGTGAGGTTGGTACCAATATTATTCTTATTTTACAAATGAGAAAACTGACATCTGGAGAGGTTGAGTAATTTTCTCAAAGCTGTACAAGTTGTATACAGCCAGGGGGGGGACCTGAATGAAGGTATTTTGGCTTCAGAGTCTTTTTGTAAGGCATTGCACCAGCTGGAGAAGGTACCTTATCTGCAAGTAGCTCTGTAGACATTCTGAGTGATATACAGATCCACTGAAGCAGAGCATTATAGAGGTTAAGCTCCCTAGCTACACCACCTGGGTTCACATCCTAGCTCTACTACTTATGATCTGTATTACTTGGTACAAGTTAATTAACTTCTCTCGATTTCAGTTTCCTCATCTATAAAATCAAGATCATAATGGTACCTTCTCATAGAGTTATCGTGAGGAGTAGTTGAGATCTGTGCAAAATGCGTAGCAGTGATTAACCTACCAAGCAGGTCTTGGGTTAATGTCAGCCATGATTATCATTTCTTTGTGTCTCTAGCCATCCCACTGTGTTGATCTCATCTAGATGTGTTATATTCACACCCTGTCACTGTCCTGCAGATTCTTGCTTGATTCTCAGGGTTGTGATTCCACACCTCTTTAGAATTTAGCCTTTAAACCAAAGGCTCCTAAAAGTCCTTGAATCCTTGAATCTTTACTGAAAAAAGAAAAAGAAGACAGTTAATTTATGGTGAATTACTGTTTTTCTAGAAATAGTCACTTGAAATCTCTCTTTGGGGAGAACTTCTATATGCTCATTACTTGCTAGGATAAAGATTCTTAGGGTGTGGTTCAGGTGTCTCTGCTGGTTACTCAAGATTTCCTTTTGTGGAGTCTGCAAATGGTTGGTTGCATCAGCCTTATAACTGGGAATGGTTATAATGTAACAAACTGATCAAAGCAGAAGCCCGAATTTCAGAAAAAAAAAAAAAAACAGTTTTAAGCAAATACACGAGTACAAACACCTACGCACAGGCACACATAGGCAAACATAAAAATGTTTTTCTATTCAGCCTGGAATGTTCAGATCTGTGCTTCCTGAACCCCTGGGGCCTCCCTCTGACTCTGTTTCAGATTCAGACCTAGACTGAGTTTACCCAAACTGGAGGGGTAGGGGCAGCTGATTAGGTCAGAGATTCAGGCATGAGGCTGGGAGCCCCACTGGAATCCCTCCCAGCAGACTCCATGAAATTTTCTCTTCCTTTAAAAAATTAATTATTTTTATATTTAAAACACCCCAAAATAATAGGAGCTTGTTATTAGAAAATTCAAAGACTCATATATAGACAGTGACTTAGTGTCTACCCCAGCCTCCCATAGTTCTTTGTTTCTGTTTCCTGAAGTAACCAATGCAGATGCCCAAGTGCGTCTCCTTCCACATTTTTCTCTATGCTAAAACAAGCATATACAAATATACGTTCACTTATGAGGGCTTTCAAAATAAAGAATGGCATTATACTGTGCTCATTTTTCTATGTTATTCTGGAACCAGATCTCTGCTTTTCCACTGATGAGTTGTGTGACCCTAGGCAAGTGAGTTAACCTCTCTGTATCTGTGTTTTCTTATTATATGGCCGAAACATTAGTGTCTACCTCCTAAGAGTTTTTCTGAGTAGTGAATAAAATATGTAAGATATTTAGACCAGGTACATGGTAGGTGCTTTTTTTTTTTTTTTTTTTTTTTTGGTATTGGCATTTATTATTATGGGGCTTCTCCTTAGACTCTTACATTTAGAATTAACTCATTCTTTTAAATAGCAGATAAGTATTCCAGAGGATAAATCTATTATAATTTACTCAGAATAAATTTGGGTATCAGTTTTTTTTACTCCTATTTTATTATTATAAATTCCAGTGTAGTTAATATACAGTGTTGTATTAGTTTCAAGTGTGCAATACAGTGTGATGTCAGTTGTTTTTTTTTAAAAATATTTTATTTATTTATTCATGAGAGAGGCAGAGAGAGAGGCAGAGACAGAAGCAAGCTCCCTGTGGGGAGCCAGATGCGGGACCCATCCCAGGACCCTGAGATCATGACCTGAGCCAAAGGCAGTTGCTCAACAACTGAGCCACCCAGGTGCCCCTGTGATGTCAGTTTGGATGCCCTCACATGGTGAGGTGTATTCTCTTCCTGTGACCAAGGAATGAGGTGGGGGAGTGGTACAGGAGGATCATTGTTCTGAGAAGCTGTTGTTGGAGAATTATGAGATTTTATGAAAAGCTGCATTTACCAGTATTTTCTTAATGCCATTTAAGAGATTATTGGGTGTAATGAGTAGCACCTTACATTTGGAGTTTATATACCAAACTGCAGTTGTGTGATTGTTTGTAACTTTTTTTTTTTTTTTTTTTAAGAATTTTTTTTTTTTTTAATTTTTATTTACTTATGATAGTCACAGAGAGAGAGAGAGGCAGAGACACAGGCAGAGGGAGAAGCAGGCTCCACGCACCGGGAGCCCGACATGGGATTCGATCCCGGATCTCCAGGATCGCGCCCTGGGCCAAAGGCAGGCGCCAAACCGCTGCGCCACCCAGGGATCCCCATTGTTTGTAACTTTATTTTACTGTAAATTTCTGTAACATCAACATTTAAGAAATATTATTCATGTCAGCTTTACCGAGTCCAGAGTGGCTTCTCACATACCTTTACAGCATATTTTAATAATTTCCTCAAGCAGTGGTTGATATTTACTTTGGAGTTTGCCTTTTTTTTTTTTTAAGATTTTATTTATTTATTTATGAGAGACAGAGAGAGAGAAAGAGAGACAGAGACACAGGCAGAGGGAGAAGCAGGCTCCATGCAGGAAGCCTGATATGGGCCTCGATCCCGGGTCTCCAGGATCACACCCTGGACTGAAGGCGGCACTAAAGTGCTGAGCCACCCGGGCTCCCTGGAGTTTGCCTTTTGATGCCTCTTCTGTGATGAACATCTATCAAATATTCCACATCCTCTTCTGACTCTTCACTACAACCAGTAAAATATGGAGCACAGTCTCTGAAAACTGATGTTTGAAACGATCTCACTTTTCCTTTCTTCCTATTCAAATATGCAAAAAATATAACTTCTGATAAATGCAATTCTAGAATAAAATAGTTTGTATAACATTCTGGAATTAAAAAAAAGAAGATCATATGTTGCAGATGTGTGCTGCTATAGGTTCTGGACATCTGCCTTCCCTTTGTCAACTCTCTAGTTTCTTTTTTTTTTTAATAAATTAATTTTTATTGGTGTTCAATTTACCAACATACAGAATAACACCCAGTGCTCATCCCATCAAGTGTCCCCCTCAGTGCCCGTCACCCATTCACCCCCACCCCCCGCCCTCCTCCCCCTCCACCACCCCTAGTTCATTTCCCAGAGTTAGAAGTCTTTATGTTCTGTGTGGGAAATATCAGAAAGGGAGACAGAACATAAAGAACTGTCTAGTTTCTACCAGAGGACTTTCTCTGGCAATTGAGCCGGTTTATTCCCTGGCTTTAGTGCTAGGGAATAAACACCCTTTGGATGTAGCCATCAGCTATCGATAAATGCCAGTGGGAGGCTCCTTTACTTCTCCAACTGGATAACTCTGAGGGGTTTTTGTGTTGTCTTCCAAGGGTCTTTAGTGCAATCAAACCCCAGTTGCCCAGGGTAGCAACTTGCATGATAATGTACCTTTTATAGACTTGATTCCTTTCCCTACTTTTTTACCAGGGCCTCCGTGAATCATCTTTTAAATTTGCCACTTACTGAGCCTATCTGGCTCAGTCAATAGAGCATCCAGCTCTTAATCTTGGGGTCATGAGTTCAAGCCCTATATTGGATGTGGAGCCTACTAAAAAACGAACTAGCCACTTACATTTGAATTCTTGTTTGGGGGCCTGTTTCTATTGGAACCTAAACTAGAAAATACCATTTTTTAAACTATGAAATAACAAGTATATTTACAGTAAAAATGTGAGAAATGTGGTCAAATAAAAGGTAGAAAATACAACTTGTAATCTTAGCACCTAGAGACATATCTATTATTGATCTTTTGCTATATTTTTATATTTGTCAGTATATCTAAAACTAAGAGGATCATACTGTACATATTGTGTGTGTTTGTGTGTGTGTGTATTTCAATTACAGTTGTCAGAAATTTCCTTTTGCTATTTTATTTATTTATTTTTATTTATTTATTTATTTATGTTTTTTTTAATTTTTTTTCCTTTTGCTTTTTCCCAAAAGGGAAATTCTAAAATTTGTTTTCTCTGATAATTCTAAAGATTGTACAAATAGATCGTCTTTTCTTTTCTTTTTTAAAGATTTTATTTATTTATCCATGAGAGACACAGAGAGAGAGAGAGGGAGAGAGAGGCAGAGACACAGGCAGAGGGAGAAGCAGGCTCTATGCAGGGAGCCTGATGTGGGACTTGATCCCAGGTCTCCAGGATCAGGCCCTGGGCTGAAGGCAGCACTAAACTGCTGTGCCACCCAGGCTGCCCAACAGAGCATCTTCTTAAGACAATCATTGACAACTGTTCTGTGTGTATTTTTCTGACTAGATATTTAGATAATATTTTAAAATATCAATGGAAGCATATTTTGTATATTATTCTGTAATATACAATAGTATTAACATAAAAAAAGACACAAGGGAGGCACCTGGGTAGCTCAGTTAGTTGAGCATCTGACTTCAGCTCAGGTCATGATCTCAGGGTCCTGTGATAGAGCCTGCATCCTCGGGCTCTGCACTCAGCAGGAAGTCTGCTTCTCCCTCTGCCTCTCCCCTGTTCATGCTCTCTCTCTATCAAATAAATCTTAAAAAAAAAAAGACACAAAGAATTCATTGCAGAGTAATAAGAAAATACAGATTTTTAAAAAGTATCAGAAATGAAAAACATCTATTCCAACTATTTAGGGATAATTCCTTGTAGACTTTCCAAAAATTTTATGTAAATATCTATGCAATAATGAATTTAGGAATGAGATCATACTGTATAAACTGTTTTGTAACTATCTGTCAGCAATATAAGAATTTTTCTATTTTTCCATAAATATTAAAAAATTATTAATGACTATATCAAAGACTTTTAACCAACTTTCTATTGCTGGAGATTTTTTTTTTAGATTTTATTTATTTATTCATGAGAGACACACAGAGAGAGGCAGAGACATAGGCAGAGGGAGAAGCAGGCTCCATGCAGGGATCCCAAAGTGAGACTCAATCCCAGGACTCCAGGATCACACCCTGGGCTGAAGGCAGGCATTAAACCGCTGAGCCACCTGGGCTGCCCTGTTGCTGGAAATTTAGATTGTTTCTTGATTTTAAAAAACATTTATAAATGAGGTCATGATAAATATTCTTATAGTTAAACCCTTGAGCACATCAGTGGTTATTTCCTTAGGATAAATTTCTAGAAGTAGAATTATTGGGTTAAAGGTTTAAACTTTTTAATGAGTTTGATAAATTTTGCCAAATTGCCAGCAAGAAAACTTTTGTCAGTTTACCTTCGCTCTAGTAGAGAAGGAAAATGACCTTTTCTCTAGTTTTTAAGAAAGTTATTTAGAATTAAAGAAACCTTACTATTGTGGAATAAATTATTTGTATTTCTAGAGATCTTTTACTGTTAACCTTTTCCTTATGACAGCTGTTTGAAAGTTGTTTCCAATTTCCTTTCAAGTGAAGTATCCAAATTCCCACGATTAGAGGCATCTATAAATATCCTCTTATTATTAAGCATTTAAGCACATGAGGTTCTTTCATCCATATATAAATTAATTCTTGTTGATAGGAGGGAAACTATAAATAGTTTAGGAGAGAAAATACAGTGGCTCTTAAACATCTGAAAAGATGTTTAATCTCAATGTAATTAGCAAAATGTAATTAGCAATTCTCTTAATGTATGCTCCTATGAATCAGTGAGACATTAGATCAACCATTCAGTAAAAAAAATGAACAGGGGAAATGAACAGATAGTTCACAGAAGAGAAAATACACAAATAGCCTTGAAACATATGAAAAGATGCTTAAACTCACTCATACTAAGAGAAAGGCAAATTAAAACCACACTGTTTCGTGTTCATTAGCTTGGCAAAGGTTACTAAGTTTGTTAACATGGTGTTAATGAGGGTGAAGGAAAACAACTGCTGCTGGGTCAAGCTTTATGGAGAACTGTTTGGCAATGTCTATTAAAACTACAAATGCACAATGATTTTTTAAAAATATTTTATCCATTTATTTGAGAGAGATCACGAAAGAAGGAGCACAAGCTGTGCTGGGGAAGGGGGCAGAGGGAGAGGGAGAAGCAGGCTCCTCACTGAGCAGGGAGCAGGATGTGAGGCTCCATCTCAGGACCTGAGCCAAAGACAGATGCTCAACCGACGGAGTCACCCAGGTGCCCCTGCACAAAGACTTTGATGCTACTTCCACAAATTTTATCCTACAGACCACCTATGTACCAAATGACATGTGTGCCATGTTATTCACTGCAGAATAACAAATAAATGCCCCTCAGTAGGGTTGAGTTTTTGTGTATCATACAACAGAATACTCTGCTGTAAGAGAGCATGAGAAAGCTCTTCATATACTGATAAAGAGCAAACATCAAGCTATATTAGAAACAAAAAGTGAAAAAACAGAATAGTGGACTATATGTTAGGATTTAGGTTAAAGAAGGGATGAGAAGGTGGTGTTGGAGAAGGTGGTGTTGGAGAAGGTGTATTTGTATATACCTGTACTATCTCTGGAAAGATAGGCAGGCAACCGGTAGCAAATTTGTCTTTTGGAAACATCAGAAGAGTGGAAGGGTGGAAGACTTTTGGAGTATGTACTCTTTGTGCCTTTTGAATTGTAGCCATGTAAATATACTTCCTACTCAAAAAATAAATAAAAGTTTATTTTTTTTAAAAAAGATTTTATTTATTTATTTGACACAGAGAGAGAGCACACCAGCAGGGGGAGCAGAGGGAGAGGGAGAAGAGATATAGGACTCCATCTCAGGACCCTGGGATCATGACCTGAGCTGAAGGCAGATGCTTAACTGACTGAGCCACCGAGGCCCCCCAACCCCCGAAAAAATTAAAAATAAATAAAAATCAAAATAGATAAATCGAAAGGAAAAAGAAATCTGAGATCTATTCCTCATTTTAGTTACATTTTGTGATCACTAAGAAGTCCCTTCCTTTTTTTTTTATTGAGGTTTGATTTGCCAACATATAGTGTGACACCCAGTGCTCATCCTGTCAAGTGCCCCCCTCAGTGCCCGTCACCCTGTCACCCCATCCCCCGCCCACCTCCCCTTCCACTACCCCTTGTTTGTTTCCCAGAGTTAGGAGTCTCTCATGTTTTGTCATCCTCTCTAATTTTTCTCACTCATTTTCCCTCCTTTCCCGTATAATCCCTTTCACGATTTCTCATATTCCCTGTATGAGTGAAACCATACAATGATTGTCCTTCTCTGATTGACTTACTTCACTCAGCATAATACCCTCTAGTTCCATCCACGTCGAAGCAAATGTTGGGTATTCGTTGTTTCTAATGTCTGAGTAATATTTTATTGTATATATACACCACATCTTCTTTATCCACTCATCTGTCAATGGACATTGAGGCTCCTTTCACAGTTTCGTTATTGTGGACATTGCTGCTGTAAACATTGGGGTGCAGGTGTCCCGGTGTTTCACTGCATCTGTATCTTTGGGGTAAATACCCAGTAGTGCAATTGCTGGGTTGTAGGGTCGCTCTATTTTTAACTCTCTGAGGAACCTCCACACAGTTTTCCAGAGTGGCTGTACCAGTTCACATTCCCACCAACAGTGCCCTTCCTTTTTTTTTTAGTGGGGCCTCTCCATATGTAATATATAAATAAATGAATATTTAATATCAGATATTCACAAGGGTTTTATAGAAAAAAAAGCAAAAAAAAAAAAAAAAGTAGGGTAAGGGGACAGCGTGGGATAGGGGTGGAGATTGGGTACTACTTGAATCAAGTTGTCCAGATCAACTTGGATCAATGTAGAAATCCAGAATCTCAAGCTCCACCCCAGATGTCCAGAATCAGACTCTCCAGTATAACAAGATCTCCAGATAATGACTATGCATATGGAAGTTTGAGATTCCCTGGTCTAGCTAATTCCTACTCATGGTCACTTTGAATGTGATTTCCTTCCAGAAGTTTTTACCTTTATTCTTTCTAGTCCACACTGAATGCCTTTCTCTGGTCTTCCATTCTCCTGTTTCCCTCCATTTTTTTTTCTACATTAATAGTTTGGTGGATTCTTCTGTTACTCCTGTCAGGAGATATGCACTGCTGTCTCACAATACACAGCACAGAGCCTGGCAATACGTAATAGGTGCTAGGTAAGTGTTTCTTTACAAATGACTGAATGAGTGCACCAAATAAAAGTATGTGTGTGCAGGAAAAAGAATTAAAAAATCTGCTTAAGATAATCAGTTTATATAAGATACTAATAATCCATATTAAAGACCCTTACATTTTATTTATTTTAGTGAAATCTTATCAGCAAGCTATTTTGACATGACACTGTGACTTTTCTTTTCCTACCTCTCTGATTTTAAAATCTTCTCTTCTGTGCTTTAAAGGTTTTTCAAATGTGAACTCTTGGCACCTTCGTTTCCGCTGGTCTGGGGATGCTCCCTCAGAACTCCTGAGGAAGTTCAGAAACTATGAAATATGAAAAGTGCCTGCTCAATAGGAGAGAGAGAGAAAGCAAGACCATCTTCTGTGCTGCCAGCAAGTCTTTAAGTCTTAACAATGTTATATTTCTCTGTCATGTTTGTGAATCAGTACCGATTGATTCCTCCATCCTTGAACCCATTCTATCACAATGTGTTTTATGAATGAGAAAAATTTCAGACTAGTTTCTTTCAATATTTGAATGAATTAAGGCTGTTAGATCCAAAGTAGCTTGTATGGTATGTATTTTCCTATTAGTGTTATTTATAGAATTCCATTTAAAAAAACTCTCTCTGTATTTAAATAATTCTTAAATATACTGTAATCTCTCAGTGCTGGATGTACAAGAAATATTTTCTGACTTTTGACTTAAAATGAAATGTGAGGGGCACCTGTGTGGATCTGTCAGTTAAGCATCTGCCTTCAGCTTAGGTCATGATCGCAGGGTCCTGGGATTGAGCTCTGCATTGGGTTCCCTGCTCAGCAGAGAGCCTGCTTCTCCCTCTTCCTCTGCTCCTCCCTCTGCTTGTGCTCTGTCAAATAAATAAATAAAATCTTAAAAAAAAATGAAATGTGAAATTACTTGTCTAAATCCCATAGAGTAAAATAAATAATTTCCCAAATTTCATGATAAACTTAAAAATTAACTGTATTTTGAAAATAATTTCATTAGATATTTCTATTTTAATTTTAATAATCATAAATTGAAAAGGTTATTATTTATTTGAGAAAATATGTTTTTATAAGATTTCTTTTGTTATATATAGCAAGTGATGTGTTTATAAACTATGTTCTCACAGTGAGAACATACTGCTAGGTTGAAGTTATTGATGGTTGTGTGTAGTCTGTGGTTATTTTTTAGTTTGCAAACAAGTGAATGAAAAATTAAGAAGAAAAACAATTTTATTTTATTCATTCATTTTTTAAAGACATTATTTATTTGAGAGAGGGAGCGAGAGCTTACAAGCAAGGGGGAGAGGCTACAGGAGAATGAGAAGCAGAAGCATGCTCCCTGAGGCAGGACTTGATCATGACCTGAACCAAAGGCAGACGTTCAACTGACTGAGCCACCCAGGTACCCCAAAGAAAAATAATATTAGAGCAGGGGTTTCTTAGTGACAGAGTTTTCACTGGTGTATATAGCAAAATGAGAAAAAAAAAAGAATATGGGAACTTTTTTTTAAAGCTACATTGCAGTGGTTTAGCGCCACCTGCAGCCCAGGGCGTGATCCTGGAGACCCTGGATCGAGTCCCACGTCAGGCTCTCTGCGTGGAGCCTGCTTCTCCCTCTGCCTGTATCTCTGCCTCTCTCTGTGTGTCTCTATGAATAAATAGATAAAATCTTTAAAAAAAAATAAAGCTACATTATTAGAACTTATGTCCTTTGTGGTTTAAAATGTGCTTCCTTTTATGAAATAGTATCATGGTAGATTGAGTTAATTTGCAAGGGCTGCCATAACAAAATATATAGATGGAGTGGTTTAAACAGTGCTTCTAACAGTTCTGGTGGCTAGAAGTACAAGATCAAGGTATCTGCAGGTTTGTTTTTTTTCTCAGACCTTTCTTCTCGGCTTGCTGTCTTTTTCAGTGTGTCTTCACATGACTTTTCTGTGTGCACATACATCCCTGGTACTTCTGCTTCCTCTATGAGGATGCCAGTTATATTGGATTAAAGCCCCACTCTATCAGCTTCCTTTTAACATATTCACCTCTTTAAAACCTTATCTCCAAATAAGGTTACATTCTAAGGTAAGGGGGATTAGGAGTTCAACATATGAGTTTTGGAGGAATACAATTTAGTCCATAACATAGACGAAAACTTTTTTTCTTTTGGATGAAAACTTAAACAAAACAAAACAAAACAAATACAACCTTGTGTTGGTTCCTTAAATTTTATTTGAATTTTTACCCTTTTGTCAAATCCAAAAAATCAGGGCCAGCTGTTTAGAGAATCATTTCTATTAACATTTTTACTGCCTCAGTAAAATTTGATTTGGCATTGTTACAGATCTGCAAATTTTACTTCAAAAATAGAAATGAAGTATTTTTTAAGGTTTTTTTTTTTTGTAGTTTTATTGGAAAACAAAGTGTTTATTCAAAGAACATTAAAAGACTAAGGGTCAGGGGCACCTGGGTGGCTCAGTCAGTTAAGCATTTGACCCTTGGTTTCAGCTCAGGTCATGATCTCAGGGTTGTGAGATTGAACCCTGAGTCAGGCTCCGCACTGGATATGGAACCTGCTTAGGATTAAGCAGGTTTTTTTTTTTTTTTTTTTTGCCCTCTCCTTCTGCTCTGCGCTCCACCCGAAAGACTAAGGACCTGTGTAGGAGGTGGCATGAGGAGGAATGAATCTCAAGCTCAGCCAAGCTGGCCATGGAGCTCTCCTCCACAGAATTAGTGTCTCAGGGGAGGCCTGGTTGGGGACCCCTGGGTCTGGTAGAAGGTCAGGAAGCAGTCAGAGAACATCAGGCCACAATGCATTGCTGGGGCCAGGGGTGGTGGTTGGCCTCTACAGCCTTAGCAGCTCACCAGATATGTCCCTGTGGTGAAAAATATAGCGTGTTAAGTCAATAAAATGAGCTTTTGGACTACAATTGCCTGTCATAGGTCTGTATGGCTTAGGTGGGCCCTCAAATAAATACTAGATAAGAGATCAAATAAGAGAATTTTTGAATCTAAGAATCAGGGTATTCATTTTTTTCCTTTTTTTCCACCAGACTGATTTATAGCATTGATGACTTTTAGTGCTTGTCAAGGGGAAAATCACCCCTACTCCTACAGTCCACTTTGTTTTTATTACAGTTGCATTTTCCCAGTTATTGACAAGATCGAGACCAGCTCTTGTTTACTTTTCTCTCCCGTGATGGCCTGAAACCTCCAATAAGAAATGGGAAATAGCTCTTCTTGGATGTGGGTTTATGATGGGTCACAATTGACATAAAACTTTTTTTTTAATTTATTTATTTATGATAGTCAGAGAGAGGGGCAGAGACATAGGCAGAGGGAGAAGCAGGCTCCATGCACCGGGAGCCTGACGTGGGATTCGATCCCAGGTCTCCAGGATCGCGCCCTGGGCCAAAGGCAGGTGCTAAACCGCTGCACCACCCAGGGATCCCGACATAAAACTTTATATACTTGATCCAACATAACTTAGTAGGAGGCCTTTTATTCTTAAACACTTACATACTTTCCTCAACTCAAAGTTTATAAAGTGAGGGAACTGTGCTTTGATAATATAGTTTTTCTCTTTGAAGGAAAAATAAGGTGAAAACTGGACAAGTTTTCTTCAATAATTTGTTTGAATTCTCCAGTGTGTCTAGCATGACCACAGTCAGATGTATATATAACAGCATATTTTCAAAGCCATTTATTTTTGGATTATGACAACTTCATGGCCTAGCAAACTGGTTAAAAGATAGTTTTACATTAAATTTATTAAATTCTTAGGCCATCTCTCTCTCTCTCTCTCTCTCTCTTTTTTAAGATTTTATGTATTTATTCATGAGATCCATACAGAGAGAGAGGCAGAAACATAGGCAGAGGGAGAAGCAGGCTCCTTGGAAGAAGCCTGATGCGGGACTCAATCCCAGGACCCTGGGATCACAATCTGAGCCAAAGGCAGATGCTCAGCTACTGAGCCACCGAGGTGCCCCTACATTTTTTTTTTCCCAATCACAAATAACTCTGTAATGAATAGCTTTGTACTTAGTATTTCTCGCATGTGAAGTACACCTGTAGGGTAAAAAGCGAGCACTGGAATGGATCAAAGAATAAGTAGATATATTTAGAATTTGATTATCATGTTCTTAAACAAACAACTGATGCAATTTGTCAAGTTTCTTAGGGCCATTGGATTGGAAAACCCAGAAAACAGTGTTTGTTCATTGGGATTGCTGCCTACAGTTTCGTTTTGTTTTGTTTTTTAATCTAGGCCACAATTGTTGAGTGGCTCAGCTTGAAGCATTCTGCTTATAGAACAGTGCACCCATCACCTCCCCAAGCCCCTGCTATCAGGGGGTGACCAACATATAAAGCAGTAAGAAAACCAGAGTATACTTTTCTTCCAGTAACTTCTCACGGAGCCAGAGAGAGAACAGAGTATTTTTTTGGTGTTATGGCTCCCTGCCTTCTGGGCGTCCTGAAATGTTGAAATATAATTCTGAAATATTTTGCTCCTTTAAGTATTGGAGCAACAGGGAACTCAACAGAGCAACTCTGGAAAATCTAGACAGAATTCGCAATTTCCTGTGATCCCAAATAGTTTCCAGTCCTGAATGGCTGTATCCCAGCCTGTCAAAAGTATGCCCCTTGATGAGCAAATTAGAAATGCAAAAAAAAAAAAAAAAAAAAAAAAAAAAAAAACCACTTGTAGACACTTCTTATAAAGATCGAGCTGGCTCAGGGGAAGATAACATTGTTTCCCTACTTATGAATTTTCATATCATTTCTGTGCCCAGATCTGATGGTGGTTACAAGATCAATCACAGCAGCAAGTGCCGATGACTAATGCAGTTATTGAGAGGGGTCTTTAATTTCCTGGAGGCAAACACCATTACCCGCCACCTCCACATCCTGGACGAGGAGATGCCAGGACCACTGGGGAGTCAGTGATGGAAGAAATTATAAAACTGATGCAATTACTGAGAAAATGATGAAATGTGTCACAATGAAAGGCTTCAGTTCCCTTCAATTTCAGGTTTTGTGATATGCATCAGTATGGCTGTGTCTTCAGCATTATTACTTCTCAGCTGCCTGTGTCGTCTCACCTTCCTTGAGGCAGAATATTTTGTAGCAGGCAGCTCCTTCTCGTCCTTTCTCCTCCCATCCAGGCTCTTTCATTTCTTCCAATGTCTTTGCTTTGACAATTTCTTGTATTAATTAGCTGTTTGGTGAGAATGTTTTCATAGTGGAATCTAGGCTAGGTTTTATGGAGAACTAGATATTTCTCTTGTTCTAACCTGTGGAATTTAGGGAAAATCACTTGAGCTCTCTGATCCACTTTCTTTTACCTGTGGCTGAAAATATGAATCTCTCCATATTTGTAGAACCCGGGATCTCTGCCCAGGACCAGGGGGCCAGGACAGTGTGGAAGTGAGGAGGAGTATGTGGTGCAAAAGTCACGGACTAGTGAGGACCAGGAAGGCAGAGAAGAGGATGTGTAGAAGAGGATGTGTCTTCTCCATCCTTCTTTCTTTTTTTTTTTAAGATTTAAAAAAAAAATTCATTTGAGAGAGATAGAGCACAAGCAGGAGGGAGTGGCAGAGGGGGAGGGAGAAGCAGACTCCTCCCTGAGCCGGGAGCCCAATGCAAGACTCGATTCCAGGATTCTAGGATCGTGACCTGAGCCTAAGGCAGCCGCTTAACCAACTGAGCCACCCAGGTGCCCCTTCCTTCCTTCCTTCCTTCCTTCCTTCCTTCCTTCCTTCCTTCCTTCCTTCCTTCCTTCCTCTTTCTTTCTTTCTTTCTTTCTTTCTTTCTTTCTTTCTTTCTTTCTTTCTTTCTTCCTTCCTTCCTTCCTTCCTTCCTTCCTCTTTCTTTCTTTCTTTCTTTCTTTCTTTCTTTCTTTCTTTCTTTCTTTCTTTCTTTCTTTCTTTCTTTCTTTCTTTCTTCTTTCTTTCTTTCTTTCTTTCTTTCTTTCTTTCTTTCTTTCTTCCTTCCTTCCTTCCTTCCTCTTTCTTTCTTTCTTTCTTTCTTTCTTTCTTTCTTTCTTTCTTTCTTTCTTCTTTCTTTCTTTCTTCCTTCCTTCCTTCCTTCCTTCCTTCCTTCCTTCCTTCCTTCCTCTTTCTTTCTTTCTTTCTTTCTTTCTTTCTTTCTTTCTTTCTTTCTTTCTTTCTTTCCTTCCTTCCTTCCTTCCTTCCTTCCTTCCTTCCTTCCTTCTTTCTTTTTCTTTCTTTCTTTCTTTCTTTCTTTCTTTCTTTCTTCTTTCTTTCTTTCTTTCTTTCTTTCTTTCTTTCTTTCTTTCTTTCTTTCTTTCTTCTTTCTTTCTTTCTCTTTCAGATTTTATTTATTCATGAGAGACACACACACACAGAGAGAGAGAGGCAGAGACACAGGCAGAGGGAGAAGCAGGCTCCATGCAGGGAGCCTGACGTGGGACTCCCTCCTGGTGGCGCTAAACCGCTGAGCCACTTGGGCTGCCCCTCCATCTTTCTTTCTAATATTATTCCTTCCTTACTGTTCTTTTAAGTAAAAAGGCAGAGATAAAAAGGGAGAGATTACAGTTAAGTAGGTGTATCACTGCATATACCAGCTCCACACACCTCAGTTATCTTTCTACATTCA